ATCTTAGAGGTTGGTTTTATTAGATTTAAAAACTAATATTTAGAGTATCTTAGAGGTTGGTTTTATTAGATTTTTAAACTAATATTTAGAGTATCTTAGAGGTTGGTTTTATTAGATTTAAAAACTAATATTTACAGGATCTTAGAGGTTGGTTTTATTAGATTTATAAACTAATAGTTATATTTAGAGAATCTTAGAGGTTAGTTTTCTTAGATTTAAAAATGAATATTTAGAAGATCTTAGAGGTTGGTATTAAAATTATAAACTTTTATTTAGAAGATCTTAGAGGTTGGTTTCATTAGAATTATAAACTAATATTCAGAAGATCTTAGAGGTTGGCCTTATTAGATTTATAAACAAATATTTGTTAGGGTCATTCTTGATCATTTTCATTTAAATTTGACTTTTTAGGAAATGATCCAAGATCTGGTGATGACCGAACCTTGAAATCAGTTTTGAAAAAAACTAGTAGCTATGGAGGATACTTGGATACTGATGACTTACTTGATCTTCCTAGTTCTAGAACTCTGGGCAGGTATACTATAAATATATTAACTGATACACTGATACTTTTTCTAGGGGCAAATTCGTAAGACATCCATCCTATTATTTGATGTTATGCATGTATATTGAGCAATTTTTTGCGCCTGCTATCGCGCTTTCTATATGTGCCTCCTTACAGCGTGTACTTTTTATTAGTGAATAGTACTTGAATAAACATTACATTTTGTAGATATTAGATCTTAACGTAATTTTGTTGCTCCTCCTTGAAGTACAGTAGTGTAGTGAATTCAGGAGCTGGAGTAGTTACTCCTCCATGACGTATAGTAGTGTAATGTATCCAGGAGCTGGAGTAGTTACTTCTCCATGAAGTATATTAGTGTAATGTATCCAGGAGCTGGAGTAGTTGCTCCTCCATGACGTATAGTAGTGAAATGTATACCGGGAGCTGGAGTAGTTACTCCTCCATGAAGTATATTAGTGTAATGTATCCAGGAGCTGGAGTAGTTACTTCTCCATGAAGTATATTAGTGTAATGTATCCAGGAGCTGGAGTAGTTACTTCTCCATGAAGTATATTAGTGTAATGTATCTGGAGCTGAAGTAGTTACACCTCCATGACGTATATTAGTGTAATGTATCCAGGAGCTGGAGAAGTTGCTTCTCCATGAAGTATAGTAGTGTAATGTATCCAGGAGCTGGAATAGTTACTTCTCCATGAAGTATATTAGTGTAATGTATCCAGGAGCTGGAGTAGTTGCTCCTCCTTGAAGTATAGTAGCGTAATTTATCCAGAAGCTGGAGTAGTTACTCCTCAATGAAGTATTAGTAGTGTTTCCAGGAGCTGGAGTAGTTACTCCTTCAGGAAGTATAGTAGTGTAATGTATCCAGGAGCTGGAGTAGTTACTCCTCCATGACGTATAGTAGTGTTATGTATCAAGGAGCTGGAGTAGTTACTCCTCCATGAAGTATAGTCGTGTAATGTATCCAGGAGCTGGAGTAGTTACTCCTCCATGAAGTATAGTAGTGTAATGTATCCAGGAGCTGGAGTAGTTACTCCTCCATGAAGTATAGTAGTGTAATGTATACCGGGAGCTGGAGTAGTTACTCCTCCATGAAGTATAGTAGTGTAATGTATCCAGAAGCTGGAGTAGTTACTCCTCCATGAAGTATAATAGTGTAGTGTATCCAGGAGCTGGAGTAGTTGCTCCTTCAGATAGTAAAGTAGTGTTTTGTCCAGGAGCTGGAGTTGTTACTTCTCCATGAAGTATAGAAATGTATCTAGGAGCTGAATTAGTAACTCCTCCTTGAAGTATTTTATTGTAATTTATCCAGGAGCTGGAGTAGTTGCTCCTCCATGACGAATGGATCTTCTGGAACCGAATACTTTTCAGCACTCTCTTCAGACGAGGAGGGGGCCAAGCAGGAAATCATTCTTAATTCAAGGTGGGACAAAATATTTCAAGGTTGAACAATCTCTTAAGGTGGGGCAATATATTACAAATTGGGACAATCTTTCGAGGTGGGACAATCTGTCAAGGTTGGACAATTGCTTTCAAGGTGGGACAATCTCTTTAAAATTTCACTAATATGATCTTTTACAAAGTATTTAACTCGTAATATAGAATTTCACATTAAGTATGATCAAGATTAAATTGTCGATAAAAGTGTGCTGCTGTAAACATAGGGTTTCCACCGGAATTCCAGGTTACAATTTACGTACGGAAATGATCCAGAATTTTTTTATTTCCATATTGGAAAAGATTCCGGTATTCTGGAATTCCGGAACGATTTTTTTCCGTAAACCAAAAATTTCCGGAACAGCGTTCCGGAATTACGTAATGTTCTGAAATTACGGAATGTTCCAGAATATTGTGTCGGAAAATACCTGTTTACGGGGAAATCGTTCCGGAATTTTACGGGGAAAAGTTTCAGAAAAACTTATGTAAAAGATAAAACCAGTAAGTAATAATCTACATAATAATAGAATGCGCGCCTGGGCCTGGTTTAGCTGTAGTTAAAGTCTCATTGAGTGTCTACTTCATGTACCCGATGTCCGGGCGATACAGTACAATCTGGGACCGGAAAGGTTGACCCGGCTCGGAAATTCAAATGCACGTAGGATAAACATACAGTCTACGTCTTATGGAAAACAAGAAATTTTGAGTTTACAACACAAATTCATATTCCCATTCTAGTTTCCAGAATGTAAACCTGGGAGTTTTTCCGGTTAACGTAACGTAAGCCAGAAAAATTCTGGTTTCCATTTCCTCCAAAAATTCATTATATGGAACAAACTTCTGAATCATTCCATTTCCAAAATGGAAATTTTGTTCCGGAATAATGGAAACCCTAAGAAAACAAAAATGTGTTGATCCTATATTTAGTTATGAGGAGGATGTAGATGAAAGTGTAAGTGTACTGCACCAAGTTGATGAATTAATGGAAGGGAAGGAAGAACAACAAATACAAGCACTTGATCTTCTACTTCAGTTTAGAGAGCAGATTGGAGATACTTCAGGTACAGTTCAGAGAACAGATTGGAGATACTTCAGTTTAGAGAGCAGATTGGAGATACTTCAGGTACAGTTTAGAGAGCAGATTGGAGATACCTTTAGATGCGATCCTTAAAGCAGTGAAGGTGAGTATCAGAGAACTAAGGAAGACCTCCTTGAGATTGTTCAATTTGAGGAATCTAAACAAGACAAAGTTTAAAATTAAATGTCATCATTTTGTAAATTGTATTTTTCCTTGATTCGAGTATAAAGATAGGATTATAAAACTCATGGTGACGACTGATCAATTGGTAACATATTTTATTACAGGGCGCACCAATAAACATTTAAAAAACTACCAAGTACAAGATTAAATATGATGAAATTCTAGTTTAGTTGAGATTGTTATCTTATCAGAGAAAGTTTGAATCTTCATGTGTCACTTCAGTTTCATCTTTCTCCCCATCCACTTCTCCACATTCGTCACATGGACTCCGGATTTTCAGGAATTCTGAACATTTAAAGTTTATAGCAAAATCCTCAGATTCCACAATCAGATAGATGGATGCCTGTCAGAGAACAAAGGAGGCCAGAGAACAGATTTAAGTACTTCAGTTTAGAGAACAGATAGAAGAAACTTCAGTTCAAAGAACAAATATAAGATACTTCAGTTTAGAGAACAGATTGAAGATACTTCAGTTTAGAGAACAGATAGAAGATACTTAAGTTTAGAGAGCAGATAAAAGATACCTCAGTTTACAGAACAGATTGGAACTACTTCAGTTCAGAGAACATATAAAAAATACTGCAGTTTAATGAATAAATAGAATATACTTCAGTTTAGAAAACACACTAAAGTACTTCAGTTTAGAGATCAGTTAGAAAATACGTCAGTTTTGAGAACAGATTAAAGATACGTCAGTTTAGAGAACAGATTTTAGATACTACAGTTTAGAGAACAGATTAAAGATACTACAGTTTAGAGAACAGATAAAAGATACTTTAGGTACAGTTTAGAGAACAGAAATGAGATGTTTCAGTTTAGAAAACAGATAGAAGATACTTCAGGTACAGTTTAGAAAACAGAAAGGAGATATTTCAGTTTAGAGAACAGATTAGAGATACTTTAGTTTTGATAACAGATAATACAATGCTTTTATTGTAATAATTTATGCATTAATTATTTATGTTTAGATTTATGTATTAATTAATTATGTTTAGATTATTTATGGAGGCTCTGTAAAGCTGAATATCTGTTAGCAGTTCTTGCGGGACAGGTTCGGTCTTACTTACCAAAATTACTTTTGTATCTATCTGTTTGTTTAAATTCAAAAACCGTTTAATGGCTAAACCGATCGGGGCCAAGTCTATGTAGTACCCCACATAAAATAGCTTATAAAAATTATTTTTAAGAAATTGGAAATCCACCAGAAAAAAATCCACGAAATGTTCCATGGTTTTTATCTTTATATAATCTTAGATGATCTTCAAATAGAGTGGTGTGAAGTCCTGCATAAACATTTTGTTATTTAAGAACGGTGATACAGAGAAAAAGAAGGAAATGATAATGAAATCAGTCGAATCGGGGAAATCAGCTCTAAGGTCAGATATTATTAGCTTAAAGGGAGTGACCGGCAATGTCTGGTGGTTGAACTGAGTATGCAGTATTGTAGAAAAATAGGATCCTTTCGAGACATATATAACGTTTCCTCGATGTATAATTACTGATTGCACTCAGCAAGCAAAGTCAACGTTCATAATCGTGAATTTGGGTGGGAACGTTTTCAGAATCGGTTTTTTTTATAATTATTAAATAACGACAACCAAAAATATTGTCATCTCAATTTTGGGCGGGTGTTGTAGGACGTTCCTCAGAGTCTGATCTCATAGTAAAAATTCGATAGTAAACTAATTAGATGTTTAGGAACATATTTCTCAAAAGAAATTTGTCAATAAATCAATGCTAGATTCAATTATTTCGTTTTAATCATTTTGTTGAATTTCTTATTTTCTATGAATTTTTTCACAGATTTTTACAAATTCTTAAAATTTCGTCTTTTCAATAAAAATTACAAAAAATCTGCAGAAAATCTTCGTGAACAATGAGATATTACAGGAACTATTAACTGAATAAGATTGCTTATTTTCGATGATAAGAGTAAATTTTTTATTTTCTCAACCTGTTCCTAAACAATTGATTAGTTTACTGTAGAATTTTGTTTACATTTTAATCGTCGGTTTTTAATAATTAAAAAAAAACCGATTCTGATAACGTACCCACCGAAATTCATGATTTTGAACGTCGACTTTGCGCTCAAACTCAGTAAATATACGTCGTAGAAACGTATTATATGTATCAAATGAATCCTAAAAAATTTGTCCTCAATGTCTACATGACATATTCAGTTCATTCACCGTCATTGCCAGTCACTCCCTTCAACATTATTATCATACAACAAAGATTGTGACAAAAAATGTAAATTCGGATTTAACCTTTTTTTTTAACCTTTAGTGCTGACGAAAATAACTCCGAGGCTCATAAATGGTTTGCCATTGCACTGGGCAGTAGAGGAGAGTTTGGTGGAGTCAGGTAAATATAGGACAGAGGCAGATACTGGGACGGGGACAGAGACAGCGACAGCAGGGACAGGATAGGTTGGGACAGAATAGTACAGGTTTGAATATGACGGGTCGGGACAAGGATAGGTTGGGACAGAGACAGACACAGCAGGGACAAAATAATACTGGTTTGAATATGACGGATCTGGACCGGATAGGTTGGGACAGGATAGGTTGGGACATGATAGGTTGGGACAGGATAGGTTGAGACAGGATAGGTAGGGATAGGATAGGTTGGGATAGGATAGGTTGGGACAGGATAGGTTGGGACAGGATAGGTTGGGACAGGATAGGTTGGGATAGGATAGCCAAAATGGAAATTTTGTNGGGTCCCTAGATGTCCCACAAAAAATTTGGGCCCGATCGGTTCAGCCGTTTTGACGTTTATTGGATACAAACAAACAAACAAACATACAAACAAACAGACAGACAAGCCAAATTTATATATAGATTATAAAACAAGACAATTATATATACATATGTTGCGTATAACCGGCCAAACGGCTGGACCGATTGGGCTGATTATTTTTTGTGGACACTCAAGGGTTAAAGGCTAAAAAAATCAAATTTTTTTTCAAGTTTGTTTTCTCCACGGGCAACGCCGGGCCCTTCAGCTATAGTGGTTAATAACAAAGAAAAATTCTTTATTCTTAATAAATTCTACTTTTAAAAAAGTTTAATTATATTTTATACCGGTAGAAAAGACATTAGTGAGGATAGGAGTATTTGACTTTTGGATTCCTAGTTTTAAAAACTGTAAACAAAGGAATTGCTTTAAATGAACCAGTGAATTCATAAAGATTTGCGTGTTTTTCCATTCTTTAAAATATGTCAAGTTTTTATATAAAGATTCAAAAGCTGGTTTAAGATTGTACCCCCCCCCCCCCCCATTTCCCCTCTCCCTCTCTCAGAGTCAGCTCTCCCTCCTAAGATTGTTATTGAATCCGTGTAACCGTGTTGTTTCGCTGTGAGTGTAAACACAAAGTTTCAGCCAATAGCAGTTCAAATCCTTCTCCTAGTCAACTAGGCGTCCGGGGGGGACATTTTCGGGATTTTTTTATTTCATTTTTAGTTTTGTATCATCACTGCGCAATTATTGCTTTATTTTATTTATTATGTTATATTAAATTAATTAAATAAAAATCTACGAAAATGTGTCAGACCCCCCTTTTTTGTGGATTGCTAACAATATCTGTGTTTATGTTTTCAACAATATTTTGTTGGATCTAAAATCATGAATGAAATGATCCAAAATTTCGTTTTTCTATTTTTGAAAAAAAATAATTATTTTTCCTTATCATTTCTGCAGTTTATATTTATCCCTGTGTTTGTTTTTTGTGAAAGGTCGGACCGGTGCGGGAAGGTCGAGCCGGTACGTGTTTTGTTGTATATTAGACCGGTTGTCCTCGTGAAGTCCTTGCCGGTACGCCGACTAAGCTCTTGCATTCAAGCCGGTACACTAAGTACAACCGGGCACTTTGTAAACAGTTCAACAGTCGTCAGTTTTGTATTGAGGGAGTGCGGCACATGTTACTACAGGCAGTAGGCATGTTGCCGAAGGGTCCATTTTTTTTACTTAAAATGCAATTTAATTAAATTGCAAAATATTGAAGAGTTAAAATATCTGGCAAGGTATATGCATCATGTTAACCATTACATTCACTATTTACCAGCTTTAATGCTTCACCGTCAACTCCCCCCCCCCTTCTCTCAACCTACTATTTATACCTATGCATACACTTCATACTACACAGTTCACTCGAATAGTTCTATCTGCGCCCCCCTCTGCCTTATTTCAGTATCCTGTTTTTCTAACTCATTAATACGTATAGTTCTTCAAGCCAAGGGTGAAAACTGTAGTGTGTAAGATAGGTAACAGTAGGGGGGGGGGGTCTTATGGGAATTTAAAATAGGTTAATCCTAGATGTCCTGGTAGAAACTTTGTTTAAAATTGGTTAACCCTAGCTGGCCTGGCTGGAAACTGAATCTAAAATTGGATAATATTAGTTGTCCTGGTTAGAAAATTTATTTAAAATTCGTTAACCCTAGCTGTCCTGGCTGAAAACTGAATTTAAAATTGGTTAATATTAGCTTTCCTGGCTGGAAACTTTATTTAAAATTGGTCCCTAGCTGTCCTGGCTGGAAAGTGTATTTAAATTTGGTGAACCCTAGCTGTCCTGGCTGAAAACTGACTTTAAAATTGGTTACTATTCGCTTTCCTGGTTAGAAACTAATTTTAAATTGGTTAACCTTAGCTGTCTTGGTTGGAAACTTTAGAAAATTTATTTAAAATTCGTTAACCCTAGCTGTCCTGGCTGAAAACTGAATTTAAAATTGGTTAATATTAGCTTTCCTGGCTGGAAACTGTATTTAAAATTGGTCCCTAGCTGTCCTGGCTGGAAACTGTATTTAAAATTGGTTAACTCTAGTTATCCTGGTTGGAAAGAAAGATGGCTGCAACCCTGTTTGCTGAACCCCCCTCCGCTACACTTTCAGAAGCCATTCAACACTTCATGGCAGGTATAGACTGACCCTTAGCAGTCACATCTTACAAGATGTTAATGTTGTTGTTTTCGTCATATTCCAGGGGAAAATATTTTTTTGAGGGTAGGATAAGTATATACATATACTTTTATTATTACAAATATGCTTTTTTGTGTTTTGTTATTATAAATATGATTGGATCTATGAATGATGCTAATATATTGCTATTAGTATTATTATTTGTAATAAAATAATGTGTAAGCGGAGAGAATGAAACCAGAAGGGTGGAAGGAGAACCGGCTTTTCATCGCTAAATGTCACATTGGTAGGTTCTTCTTATAGATAAACAGATCTTTACATACAGTGGTAGGCGATTATATCAATACAATGAAGACTTTTTATTTCACTTTTTATTTTAATCAAGCTATTAAACAGCATGGATGGATTGGACATACACAAACATAGAAATCAAAAGAACCCATCAATTAAAAAACTTCTCTTCGATAACCTGTGAACTTATAATTCGGAAAAGCTTGTTAACAGTTAAAGCTGAAATAGAAAGTCGTCTTTATTGAATTGGTATAATAGCCGACACCAGTAGTAGAGACAGTTGGAAAACTTGAGGAAACAGAAAAGACTGATGCCAGTAAGGAATTGACAAATTGCATACCCTTGCAGCTTCGATAGTTAATTCATATAGAAAGAAATGACGTTAAGGACTCAGATATATAGGATAGTTCAGAGAAGGAACGACGTTTGGGACATCATAATAGTAGAGACAGTCTTGACAGATATATATGATAGATAGAGAAGAAAGAACGTAAAGGACACACTAATAGTAGAGAGAGTCTTGACAGATATATATAGGATAGATAGAGAAGGAAGGACGGAAGGGACACTCAAAGTAGAGACAGTCTTGACAGATATATATGATAGAGAGAGAAGGAAGGATGTAAGGGACACACTAATAGTAGATACAGTCTTGACAGATATATAGGATACAAAGAGAACGAAGAAGACATAGGACAGACAGATAGAAAGAGATATATTACAGTATGATCATTTGATAATTATTGCTAATTTACCACATTGCTAGGACTAAGAGAATACTCTGAAGCAATTTCTTGGTTAGATAAAGCTGATTCTATACCCCTCGCACCCTCACACTACAGGGAGGGTATAAAGGTAACAAAACTGATATCAATTGTATTGTAATGATCGGTTAATGAGGCAAAGTCCCAGGAAACATATTTATCATTTTATCACATTTAATCATAAACAATTATATCAAAGAAAACTTTATTGAGTTTAAACTCATATAATTGTTTAATTATCTACTAATCTTTATCTAACAAACTAAACGATTTAATTTGCTCTTATTACAATTTCAAAAATTCGGTTTGTAGATTACACTTTGACATATATGAGCGAGAAAATGACCCAAATGTGTCTCAATTCAGATATAATAACGTGCCATGCCATCATTTGTTAGATAAATGGTCTGTGGACGTATTTTCATGTGACCCTTTGTTGGGGTTATCCACGTTTTTCTTTCTGAAAATGAAATATTTTAAATTTTAGTTCTCTACTTAAGCGATTTGCGGATTTTTTTTCCCCAAAAAAATGGAAAAAAGATTTAAGTCAGAAAATTAACGATATTTTTCTCACTGTTCACTGTGAATCCAATTACTGGAAAACAAATGTTGAGTCAAGTTGAGTTAAAAAAGATTTTTACTCCATTTATTTTTACTGACCCAGTAGGTTAAAAATACACTTCTTCTATTTTTATTTTAAATAATCAAGTTTTACATTGTTGCAGACGTTAATCGTAAGTATAATAAATTGCATGCTTGACCAAAAAATTGTTTCGTGGAACAGGCTGTGCTTGGGACCCAATTTATTAGGATCCGGATCCGGATACAGATACAGATTTAACAGTAAACATTTAACATTTTTTCGATCTAGATTTGTTCAACTGATTTAATTGAATCGAATCCGAATCTCGACTTACAATACCTAGATCCGGTTCTTGTCTTCTATTATATTTGGATCCGGATTTTGACTTTTCCCAAAATCTGGATCTCTCGGATCTGGATCTGGATCCGGATCCGGATTCACACAAAGAAAAAAAATAATACATTTAGAATGAAAATGTCTTGTAATTTTTTATATTCTACTCATTCCATAGTTTTAATATTTCCTTTCAGATGTTAGAATTTTGCAGAAGAAAAATAGTAGTTAAATATTTCTTTTTTATTCTTGCATAAGTAAGTAGAAAGGGCTGTGTAGGGAATTTAAAATTCTTGGATTAGCTTTTCAAAGTCAAATCTTCTTTAACTAAGTTAAGTTCAGATTTTCAGTAATAAAAGTGCAAATTTAAAGTGCAAATTTCAATTGTCAGCGAATTTATCTATGAAATGTAATTAAAGTGATATTTCTTGCTTCATTTATATAAAAGAAATTGTTCACATAAATTGTGTGTTATAACAAATAATTGTGAATATCAGAATAGTTACATTTGATTCAGTTTATAATGCTTTTATTCAGTCAATTCACTAGCATTAACAGCATTCACTGTATTTAGAAAACTAGGAGCATGCTACTTCATGTTACAGAAAACCCCAATAAAAATGAGAATTGAGTAAATTGTCGTTTATTTTTCTTAACCATTATAAAGCTTCCCTAAAAACAAGCCAAGATTTTAAAATTTTGACATAAATCTTATTAGATTAAATTTGAACTTAACAGATTAAAAGGTCACATGCTAGCATTGGAAGTTGTATAGTTAAAGTTTAACTTTGTTAATGTCATTTGAGAGAATTTTTGTTTGACATTTTATAGTTGGGAGTAAAAAAAATTTAATTCTGAAGCAAAGAAGTTAAATTTTATAATCTATTAAATTTCATGTATTTGTTAATGAATTCACAACCAATTATTCAACCAAAAAAAAAGATTTTCAAGAAATTTTTCAGAAAAAATCTTATTTCCAATTAAATAATTAACTATAAAAACGAAATGAAAAACCTCGGGCAAAGAACATGATTTTTTTATATTTTATTTAGGATCGGATCTCACAGGAGGAAATACATGGACTAATTACAAAATATCAGGGATACAGGGTGTAAACCTGTAGCGAGGTGTTTAGCGAGTAAATATTTGGCATTTTTAAGTCTTCCATGGGGGATTTTTTATTTTTTATGAAAACATTTTTATAAAAATCTTTTTTTGAATTAACTATGCAGAGCTTATTTAACATTGCACTTAGTGATATTTTGAGTAACTTATTTTTTTCTTAGATTTTGCTTGTTTTCCATATTTGCATTTTTAATCACTTATGATGATTTGATTATATTATATTAAAGGAATTTCCAACGTAATTTTATTTTATTTATGTAAACCATAATGTTGTACTAAAAATGAACCACAAGGTGACATATGTGTCCTTTAAACCAGCTGTAATTGAGACGTGGGAAAAATCAAATAAAATTAACCTCGTCTTTTTTTGCGAATCTTGACACTTGGATCAGTGGATTCGCCTGTTTTTGGATCCCCGGAGCTAATCTTTTCCGAATCTGGATCCTTTGAATTTTAGATCTATAAACTACATTATCTTCACCATTGTTTTTTTATTAAGAGGACTGTACTGTACTGTACTGTACTGTACTGTACTGTACTGTACTGTACTGTACTGTACTGTACTGTACTGTACTGTACTGTACCGTACCGTACCGTACTGTACCGTGGGGAGTTAGCTAGTTATCTTAAAAATCACTTTTTAATTACATGGACGCTCGCTTAATAAATTTGAATTTGTAGTCTACTTCTACCTCATAGCGTCATGTATCATATCTTTTGTAAGAAAATTTAGAAAAACAGCCAAGATCTCTTAGGGTTAAGAAATTTGAGCTGAAGGTTTTATTGTGTTTAAGAATCAAATAGATTTTTCAATTTGCATCTTGGCTTGGTTGGTGCAAATCTTTACATTTTCTACCACTTGTAACTATATTTTCATCATTTTTTGTCATTTTTTTATTCATTTTTTGTTTCAGACAAAATGGTTCAACTAGACTGAGCTTATTTGAGAATGGATTGGTCAGGGTATGAGAGAAGCGGTTATGGATTAGAAGAATCAGGTAGTTAAAAGAAATATATTCTGAAACTTATTTTTAATATTTCTTGGATGTTATCATTTCCATTGTTCATGGGTTTAGATATTTTTAATTTTTATCTTGACCTAAAGTAAAGTTGTGATTGTGAAGTCTGCAAAGAAGAAACTGTATCGGGATGATGTAATATGTACTAAGTATGGGACTGTTCAGTGTTCAGACTACTACTAATATGACGATTTCAAGACTCTCACCTTGATTGTGGTCTTTTAATGACTTATTTAATGATTTCGTAAAGAAAGACGTTTGTTTCTGGGAATCGTAAATACGAGGAAATAGACAATTAAAATATCGTACAGTCGTCTCTGAAGTCTCATCTTTTATGGGTTACCCTGTAGTATTAGAATATGAAATTGTTTCAAGAATAAAGAATAATGTTTCAAAATTAAATGTTATTTATCGCTGAAAATTTAATTATGATAAAGTTTCGGGTAAGAAGTATCATACAGATGGGTTAAAGATTTTTAGTTATATATTTCTTATAGTTTTGACCTTCTAGTGATTGAGTTGCATAATAATAATATAATGGTATGTCCCTTTCAGCCTTTGTTTGATCTAGGATGACTGAGATATCCTCTTTTTTAGCTGAAAATTGATTATTTTCATTTATGGTTTCTTCTCTGCAGAGCTAAGGAAGGAATCGTCATAATTATAACGTTTATTGTACTGAAAAAAAAACCGGTTTCTCCTTTATAGTTACTCAGATAGTGGTGTTTAATCGGATTCGATTTGCTGCTCTTTAACTATAATCTATTTTAGGAAATGAACTGCTTGAAGACGAGGAAGAGGAGGATTATGATGATGATGATGATGACGATGATGAACAGGGATATAACGAGGTAGAACAGGGATATGACGAGGTAGAACAGGGATATGACGAGGTAGAACAGGAATATGACGAGGTAGAACAGGAATATGACGAGGTAGAACAGGAATATGATGTATGAGGGCAGCTTAGGAACCAGTTTTAGTGTAAACATTAACAACAGACAGGGCACTAAAACAGAGAATATTTAAACAAACTTGAAACAACTAATCTATCTAAGAAAAGCTTTTCACTCATACTTGTTTTATACTTTGCTTGTCTATTTGTATGTTAGTTTGTTTGTTTGGGTGTTTGTTTGTTTGTTCGTTTGTTTGTATCCAATAAAGACGGATGAACCGATCGGGCCCAAATTTTGTTTGGGACCTCACATGACCTCAGGGAAGGCTTATGAATAATCAAATTTCAAAAATTACCCTTCAACAAAATTCGTTTTTCAATTTTGAATATCTACGAAATTTGTTGATAAAATCCGGAAAAAATTCTTTTTTCAATGTATAAAAAGAGAAAATGTTCACAATTGAGAATTTTAAAATAACTTTTTCTTAAAAATTAGACCAAAACTGAAAATTTTGTCGTTACAATTCTGCGAATTTTCTGTGATTAAATCTTTAAAAAACTTTTTGACTCACCCTGTATATATATATATATATTGTGTGTGTGTTAACTATGGCTGTCCAAACGGCTGGACCAAATTGGCTTAACTTTTATTGAGGTAACATAGGCTAAAAAATTCAAAATTATACTTTTTTCCACGGGCGACGCCGGGCACTTCAGATAGTATTTATAATTTAATGTTTTAATGTCAAAATTAATATTACAGACGAAAATACCAATTATTGATGGAGAGGATGGTTGCTATGAATCAGGATTCAGAGATCATGGTTTATAGGATTAGTAAGGTCAGTCCTTTAACTAAAAATGTAGTAAATACATAAATAATGGAATTGTAATAATACTTAATTCACCGCAGTAAATAAATCTTTTTTATCTAAAAGTTATCGATGATGGAATTATCTAAAACCCGTTTTTTATCATTTCTCATATTTGCAATTGTTTTTGTTATTACTAACATACTAACTCAATTCTACGTTTAATTACTTCTAAAATTAATTGGTTTTTATTTTATGTGAAATTTTTCAAAAAATTCCTTGCTTTCATATTTCATATTTTTATTCAACTACAAAGCACGAGATAATACAAATAAAAAATCACAATTTACTATGTAGTTTGGACCCGCCTAACCAGAGTAGGTTGTTTTAATTGGTTGGCCCACTATAAACGAATGAGAATTGCAGATAAAAACAATGTACATTGTACATTTTAAACATAAGATATTTATTATATTAGATAATTTATTTAGTTAAAATACTAGATAAAGAAGATGTTGGTTGAGGGAAGACAAGAACGAGAATTCTTGATGAAGGAGTTGGATAAAAGAGGAGATAAATATAGAACCATTCCTGTACCAGAGCCATTCACGGTATAAGTATTATTATTATTAATGTTGTTGTTGTTGTAGTAGTAGCCATAGAACCAGTGTAGCGTATATGCACATGGATTCATGGTATAAGTATTATTATTATTAATGTTGTTGTTGTAGTAGTAGTAGTAGTAGCCATAGAACCATAATAGCGTATATGCACATGGATTCACGGTATAAGTATTATTATTATTAATGTTGTTGTTGTAGTAGTAGTAGTAGTAGTAGTAGCTATAGAACCATAATAGCGTATATGCACATGGATTTTGGTTTTGAAGTTCTTTTTGTCACCAACTGAGTGGGTCAAGGTTTGCACATCCAGAGAAGATTGTTACAACTGTCTCATGGTCCCAAAAACTTCATAGAACCTTCCTAATTATTCCATCACCTTGACATATTTAAGTGTTGAAATGTTTTCATGTTATGTTGTTCGTTGTTGTTGTCGTCGTCGTCCTAGGTCCTTGGTTTTTATAATTATTAAAAAATTATGAAAAATATTTAAAATTATAAAAATCGTGTTTTTGTTAGATTTGATTTATTTCTGTTAAGGAGAACGATAGTAAACGTAAAGAATCAGGAACAGGTGAAAAGAAACCTAAGAAAGTTAAGGTAGGAAATATTACAAAAACAAATTATTCGGGTTTTTAAGTAAGTAAAGGTTTGATGGATAATTATTTGTATTTTTTTATATAAAGGTTTCAAGCGGTGCTTAGGATCCGGATCCGTTGGATCCGCAAGATTTTGGCTTCCTGGATCTTGATCCGCTAAAACATGCAGATCCACGGATCTGGATCCAAGGGACAAAATATTAACCCAAAAAAATTGTACTCTCAAAATCCAAAGCTCTAAAACAAACCTTTCATTTTTATTGTTTAAGTTTCCGAGATTTTTATAGAAATTTTGTTATTGTTTTCAATAAAACTAGTTTTCGATGTGTCCTAATGAAACGAACATACTATGTTTATTGTTGATATTTGTTCTAAAGGTTGGTAAAGACAAGTCCTCACGCGATCCAAATCTACCAAAGCGTCCTCAGAACCCCTTCTTTCAGTATTGTAAGGTATTTTCTTAGGTTTTTTTACTCCTAGCATTTTTCTAATAAAAGGCCTGTTTCGCTACTTAGCGATTTCCCTAAAGACCTAATGTATATACCGTGCAGTATTTCTCGAGATTGGATTGTAAGCCTTCCTCCTCTCAACGCTCTCCATAACAAAGGATAATAATATGGTTACGAACGTTTATTTCTCGAATGCTTCAATCTAAATAAGTTTAATAAGCCCACAGAAAAAGCTTTGAGTGATAAATCATACGAATACAAAAATAATCCACTCAGGCATTAAAGAACTGTGGCAAGGAACCAACAAACATATTTACAAATATCAATCATAATATAATCAAACGATAGCATACATATATATATAAAAAAATTATTTATTTCTCGAATGCTTCAATCTAAATAAGTTTAATAAGCCCACAGAAAAAGCTTCGAGTGATAAATCATACGAATACAAAAATAATCCACTCAGGCATTAAAAAACTGTGGCAAGGAACCAACAAGCATATTTACAAATATCAATCATAATATAATCAAACGATAGCATACATATATATAAAAAATTATTACCGCAGTGATCCTAGAATATAGCACGGTTACACTCGTAAAGACAAATAAACATATACTAATACAAAACTGTTCACTCTCACGCGAGAAATCTTGCGCCTGCGTAATCAGTCTGTAAACAGCTCCTAAACTAGTTCTTTCACAATACGTTCTGTACAGATCCTCAGGGAGAACTCAGAAATACACAGGGGCATCAAGTAGACTTTATACACGGAGCATGGCTCGCGTAATAAGGCCTGAGGCCGAATTTAAAAACTTCAAACCGCGTCGCTGAACTGCTAAAAACTGGTTCTAATTGAGCGCCGGCTTAATACAGTTTTAAGTGAAACCAACCATTGAGACGGGGCTCAATTATTTAAATTCTGCTTCTGTTCACCTATTTATAAATAAACAAAATACACTGATTTTATATTTTAATTACAACTTTGACCATTCTTAAGATGGTCCTTAAAAGCGTACAATTCTATATTAAATGTTTATATTAATGGTTTTATGAATTTCGTGTATTTATTCGCTACAATTTGTCCAAGAATTCACAGAAACATGAAATAGACTGTTTAATTTAAAGAAATAAAATCTGTAGAAATGGTTTGAATTCAATTCCGTTTGAACACTTTCAGACACAAGAAACATGTTTTAGGAGCAGAGAGATTACATTTCTCGGGAGATTCAAGACAGAGACGGAATACAACTTAGGAAACAATCTGAAATATATTAATATTTTGATCATTTGGGTCATTTTTATTACTATTTTTTAATATCAGGGGCCGGGGTGGGGCTTACAATTTTTTCTCTGCAGCTATTGGGCACAAAAACCTCTGAAAACCATAGATTTTACTGATTGTTATTTCACTCCTCAGTCATAACATGTAAGTAATTTCAAGATTGTTTTTAGTAAGAAAGAATTAACCAAACTTTTGGCGCAAAGATGGAATCTTCTTGATCTTCAAGACAAACAGGTTTTTAAAGATTTGGATTTTTTCTATCATCTTTGTGTCAACTATTCTTATCAGTATTAATGGGTTGAAATAAATGTATTATTATCTGGTTAGATTACCGGGTACCAACTCAGTCTACGGTAATGAAGACATTTTTCCATTAGATGTTGGAAAAGGTGTTTGTTGTCCATTAAAATTGACTTAAAGGTCTGAAACTAACTCAAAACCTGTGTTACTTGTCTAGTCCTCAACGGCATCCATAAACCCTTTATCTAACTTACAATAACTTGTGTAATATGTAATGTATCCTCGTTTTTCAATCTGGACAATTCATATATTTTGACTATTTCCTTCACTGTATCTGTAGCACAAATTTACTAGTGGCTTCTAAATTAAAACCTATCAGTTTTGAGAAAAATACGAATATCTCATTCATCCTAGATCAGATAAGGGTTTAAAGTACACTGTCGTATACCGTATATCTTACTTTTCAAATTGGGCATCCTTTAAAATAACGTTTCGAGTGTCATCTAGTCCCTTTAAATAGTTTTATTTAGATCTATAATGAACGGTTTGAGGAGGAGAGAGCTGGATATAATATTAAGATGGAAGACTTCAGGGAACATTGATTTATCTGTACAGAGTTCAATATTTTAAATATATAGAATTTAAATGGAGAGAAAAACAAAAAAGTTATTTTTTACTTTTTCCAATAATAATTTGGCAAATTAGTTTCAAAAATAAAGATTAAAAAAACCCTTTAAATGTGTAAACTCTGCGCTAAATGAATAATGATGAGTTTAGGAGAAAGATGCAGGAGGGATTCGTTAGCTTTGAAGAGTTTGGGAAATCAGAGAATACTTCATCCATGGACTTCAATGATGTATAAATCGGAGGATACTACAGCCATGGACTTCAATACTATTTAAAACGGAGAATACTTCATCCATTGACTTCAATGATGTATAATCAGTGAATACTTCATCCATTGACTTCAATGATGTATAATCAGTGAATACTTCATCCATGGACTTCAATGATGTATAATCAGTGAATACTTCATCCATGGACTTCAATGATGTATAATCAGTGAATACTTCATCCATGGACTTCAATGATGTATAATCAGTGAATACTTCATCCATGGACTTCAATGATGTATAATCAGTGAATACTTCATCCATGGACTTCAATGATGTATAATCAGTGAATACTTCATCCATGGACTTCAATGATGTATAATCAGTGAATACTTCATCCATGGACTTCAATGATTTATAAGTCAGAAAATCCATGGACTTAATAATCAGTGATGGCTGAAGCTGGAACCAAGATCTCGTAATAAAATATATTTATTTAGTTTCAGACCTAAGATGTCTGTAAAGACTGATGGTCGAGGAGGGAGAGGAAATATAAAAACAGAAGTTGAAAATGATGACTGTTCACTAGACAGCTCAGATATACCGCCTGTTCAAATCACTCCCATCAACAAGAAAACCTGTATTCAATCCATAGAAATAACAGACGAGTAAGAAATTTAATTTGTTCTTCTTTTTTCCTCAGAAATATAATCATTGGCATAAAAATTTCTTAAGAATTGTCAAAAATCAAAAATTCTAAACCTGTTTTAAGATCAATAATGTTTTATTAGGAATATTGAAGTTTTGCTTGGTGAGTTGAATTCATCATCGCCTCTTATAAAAGAATATCTTATAATTGCCAGGTAACTTGGATCATTGATATTGATCTATGATCATTATATCGAACCAGAGCTGGGAACTTTTGAATGGTGGATATCAGGATTAATGCTTGATCCACTCTTTTTCTTAATCTCGAGATTAAATAATGCTTGTTCTCCTCTTGTTATTAATCTCCAGATTAATTATTCGATCGGGATTAAGAATATCCCATTCTAAAGGTTTCAGCTCAGATCTCATTGATTTAGATTTGAAATGTGGTTAGAAATAATACTTTGAATAATACAAAAAAAATTGTTCTTTCTAAAACTTAAGAAAATTTAATTTTAATACGACAAGAACTTGTGAGATGTAGCGTCGTGATTTCTTTTCATCAAAATAAAACGTTTTTGTTGGACGATTCATTAATTGATTGAGTGATTGTTTAATTGATTGATAAGCGTTGTTTTAGAAATTGCGAGTTCACATCAGATCTCCGATTTATTATCAGTTCAAATCAAAATGGAATATTTGTAAGGTAATTAGGATAAAGTTTTAGCATTTTATACAGTTGTATCCTAAAAATAGAGGAATGATTTTTGTCTTCTATTATGAAATGTCGCTACTGATTTTTTTTTAAACTCATAAATTTTTTAACTAGTGGAAAGTGACCTGACTTCAATTATGCCACAGTCTTTTGGTTAGCACTGTATTCTTGATTAAAATAGAAGCTAGCTGGGTTTTCATGAAGCTGTAAATTTCATTTTTCAAGTCAAGATAGTAAGATAATATCGGGTCTAAATTTAATATATTTGAGCTATTTCGCTGAACTAACTATGCCGCCGGTTTTTATCCTGATTCAACCGATTCAAAGTTAAAGATTCATTTGGATTTGAATCGGTGTTTTTAAGGATTTTTAGCCGTCAATAGGTAATTCAGCGATCTCTCCATTTCATCAAATTTAATTTCTGGATGAAGTAACGGATTTAGTAAAATAGAACATTTTGTTGTATGAAAACCCCTTAGTTTCCTATCTTAACCAGCTGAAAAGTGTTTAGTGCTATATATATATAGTATCTCAATGTGCGTTTGAGGTGTGGGGAGGGAATCGCGGATATTGAGATTAATTCTTGATCTCCTCATATTGTTAATCTTCAGATTAGTATAATCTGTATCCACTAGCCTATCTCAAAATCAGTCAACTTTTGGTACAGAAAAAAAGTGGTCGCTCATGTGGTGCCCAAGGACAGGTTTGTTAAACAAAATATTTTTATTTTTTATTTTTGACGAGCTTAAGGGTACCTGCTCGGAGCTTTAAGTTTAAAAAACGGCCGTTTTTTTTCGATTTTTACAATTTTTTAAAGCCTGAGCAGGGACCTTATAAACCAAGCAATCTTCAATTTTTTTCTTCCTCTGTTATCTACATGATGTATACTAACATATGAAAAAACACTCTTCTTGATATCTAAACCCTATTATTAAAAATAAGATATTAAAAATGTAGATTTTCAAAAAAAACACGAAAAATTTGTATTTTCTTCTTGACTCCACTAACTTTCCAATTGGTCTGTACTGTGATGGAAAGTTAGTTCAAGAACTAACAGATGGAAAACGCCTAAAAAAGGACAGGATTGCAATTTCAGTGAGGATTGATAATCAGACAGAGCTCCTTGGAATCCCTGGCAATGATTCTGGTACTGGTGAAGCCCAAGTAGAGCTAATGAAACCACTTCTGGAGCAGTATAATTTAATGGATAAGATTAAATTCATGTGTTTTGATACAACTGAATCAAATACAGGACAAAATTCTGGTGTCTGTACCAGAATTGTTAGGCTGATTCAGACCCCAATTCTTCATTTTGGGTGTAGGCATCATGTTAATGAACATCATGTAGTTCATTTTTGGAAGAATTATCCTGGAAGTAAGACCACTGTTCCTGATAATCAATTGTTTAAAAAGTTGAAAACCCAATAAAACCAAATAGATACTGGCCTAAAAACTAAACTTAACAAACTTGTCATACACCCTGGCTCCTTTCTATCTGAGGCAAAATCACATTTACTTATATCATCTCAGAAATTTATTTTAATCCACTTTACAATTAACATTCAATTTAACAGCAAATTATCATAAAAATTGTTGATCAGGAGGGGAAATGGAAGCGTAGGGAATATAAAGAACTTGCAGAACTAGTAGTAATGGTCTTGTCAGTGGATATTAGGTTCAAGCTACATATACCTGGAGCCCTTCACAATGCCCGGTTTCTGGCTAAGGCCATATACTTCTTGAAGATGTTTCTACTGATTGAACATGTTCCTGGCTTAACAAATGATGAGCAGAGAGAGGTCACAGAGATGGCTACATTTATCAGTCTGTTTTATGCAGAATGGTTCTTGAGAGCTGAAATATCTAACATAGCTCCGGCTCAGGTAAAAATTTAACTTAGGATTTCAATTATAAGAAACAGCTTCCTCTTGAAGGTTTTAAAAATTATTAACTATCGTACCTTGCACTCATCATTAATTTAATTTTTTTTGTAGTTCACAATCATTTCTCATTTGAAGTTTAGAACATTTAATCCATAAATTTGTTTAACCTTTTTCACACAAATAAATGTACTTCAGGATATTAAAGCTCTCTGGCAGATGAGCAGATTTAAGGAGTTTAACCTAGACTCTGCATCAACAACAATAACATCCATACTTCGACACAGTTGGTATCTGGATCCAGCAGTAGTTGTTTTTGCTTTGGCTGATGAAGAATATTCTAACTGAGGGAAAATGACCAAGAAGCTATTTTCTCTACCTCGTCCAGAGGAATTTCCTCTGGATAGGCAAGTAGTGAATAAAGAAGTTCTTCTAAGTCTTAACTATTCTGACAAAGAGCCCCCAAGTCTGACACCCCTGATAACAGGGCAGACCTGGATGATCTTTAACATGCTTAAACATAACAGGGCTGAGATCCAGTGGATGAAACTTCCTCCTGAGTTCTGGAATACCAATGATTTCTACTGTGAGTTTACTGCTTTCATCAAGAATATAGCAGTAGTAAATGATGCATCTGAACGAGCTATAAAGCTTGTGCAAGAGCTGATTGACACAGCAAGATCAGAAGAAAAACGGCAGGACAACTTTCTGTTTTCCAATGTCTTCAAACGAAACCGTAAAGGTCGAAAGAAGACTGACTATAAAGCTGCAGCTCTAAAGGGCATGTCTGAAGATGTTATTGAACAGAAGTTAGGACTCAACCTTGATGAGTGATGACTCTGTTTTTTAATCACTGATGGAAATTTTTCATACTTATTGAAGAGTTGTCTTCTAAGAGATCAAACCTCAAAATTTCAATTTTCGTGTTTTTTTGAAAATCTACATTTTTAATATTTTATTTTTAATAATAGGGTTTAGATATCCAGAAGAGTGTTTTTTTATATATTAGTATACATCATGTAGATAACAGACGAAGAAAAAAAATGAAGATTGCTTGGTGTCTAAGGTCCCTGCTCAGGCTTTAAAAAATTGTAAAAATCGAAAAAAAACGGCCGTTTTTTAAACTTAAAGCTCCGAGCAGGTACCCTTAAGCTCGTCAAAAATAAAAAATAAAAATATTTTGTTTAACAAACCTGTCCTTGGGCACCACATGAGCGACCACTCTTATCTGTACCAAAAGTTGACTGATTTTGACATAGGCTAGTATCAACTTATGTGCCCTAAATTCTACTAATCAGAGTGTACCAAAAGGATTAAGAAAATCATACATTTCCACAATAGATATTCAAATTAATCAATTCTAAAGTTTTCAGCTCTGTAACCATAATATATAATTAAATGTTTAGTGTAACGAATAAGAACCCTGACCTATACCTCCTCTTCAGGACAAATATTAATCTTATAGTTCGCAGTCAAGGAATATACTTTCAATCAATACAAACTAAATATTAAATATATTTTATTCGATTTTTTTTCTCGATTTTTTTCATAATATCTGCATGAGGAGTTTTCTTAGTTACGTAAAAAGCAAAGGGGAGAATTCATGATTTTCATGATTCATGATTCATGATTCTATGAACTCCAATACAAAGATGTTTGAAAGGATGTAAATTAGGACCAGATTTATTATGTACTCTCTACAATTATAAACACCAAATATTTAAAGGAATGGTTATTAAGGTAAATTAGTAAAATCATTAAGAGCATAAAATAGTTATTTAAATAAAATTCATCTTGAGTAAAAACTTTTTAAATGATCTTACTTTCTTCAGGATTTTGCTAAGTATTTGGACGACGATGCAACAAGTGCAGGAATATCCATGTTTCTGCGGGAATTAGAGATAGATAGATACAGGGTTTGTTCTGGAGCATTTACTGAGGTATCTAAATTTTTTTTTAAATGTCAGTTTATAAATTTTAGTTTTTTGTAGTAAATAGTACTGTCGCTGTGCTTAAATAAACGTTTTTGATTTAGGATAATTTAAATTCCTTCTTTTAAGTTTGAATTTTTTTATTTTGTTATTTATTATTAATATTTCAGTTTTATAAATCTCCTTTTGAAAGGTTAAATATTATTTTGCGTGAAAATATGATTAAAAAACTGAATTGATATTTCAATTTTTCAATTGTTAAGTTAAGCTATTTCTAGTGTGAGCTGGCTGGTAGTCTTAATGTTGACCTGGTCAAATCTTTACTC